TGTTGTCTCAAAAATGTTTCCTGGTATGGTATTGGATTTGCTCTCATTTCTAAATGGGCAGAACTAGCCATAGAAACACAAGAAAAATTGGAAGTCAAGGAACCTCAACTCCTACTCAAAATAAATCGGCAACAGAGCAATCAATGAAAAACCTAGAAGACAGTTCTCAAGCTCTACAAACACTACTTGTAAACATACTGAATGAAAAGACTGAAAGTCTGCATGAGGCTATACTTGAGCATGATGAGGCTAAACAAAGATTAATAGAGAAATTCATGGAACCCACAAACAAAAAGCTGTATTAACTCCAACCAAAGGAGATGGAAAGGTGGCTCACTGATAGGGTATTTGTGTAGCACACATGAGGCCCTGACTTGGATTCCTCAGCGCTGCATAAGCAAAAAGAAAAAAGCCGGAAGTGGTGCTGTGGCTCAAGTGGTAGAGTGCTAGCCTTGAGCTAAAGTGCTGTGGGACAGTGTCCAGACCAGCAAAAAAAACCAACCAAACAAACAAAAAATCTCAAAAAACAAAACATAATTCCAACCAAAGGAAAGGAAGTCCAATGAAAGTATAGCCACTCTGCTAAAGTATTTGAGGAGAACACTGAAAACCATATCAAGGAGGTAACAAAGTCTGTACAAGATCTAAAACAAAACTTCATGAAAGAAATTGAAGCCATCAAAACTGATTGATTAGAGGGAAGGGAAACAAAAAAACAAAGTAGAAAGTCTTGACAGTAGACTAGATGATGCAGAAGCAGAATCTCAGAACTTGAAGATAGTATAGATTTAGAGAGCAGGAACCACCAAACATTCAAATCAAATCCAGAGAACAAGATAAATCCTACAAGGGATACAAGACACAATCAGAAGGGCGAATTTAAGGATAATTGGTATTGAGGCAGGCCTAGAAAAGGAAGCTAAAAGAATAGGAAATATATCAGAATCATATCAGAATAATAGCAGAGAAATTCCTGAACATCCAAATGATAGGTCCAATCAGATAAAGAAGCCTTTAGATCCCCAAACAGACAAAACTAGAATTGGACATCCCAACAAGACACTGTGATCTGCACAGAATTTATAAAGACCAAGCTTAAGCTGGGGCTTGAACTCAGGGCCTGGGTACTGTCCCTGAGCTTCTTTTGCTCAAGGATAGTACTCTACCACTTGAGCCACAGTGCCACTTCTGGCTTTTTCTGTGTATGTGGTACTGCGGAATCAAACCCAGGGCTTCATGCATACTAGGCAAGCACTCTACTACTAAGCCCCTTTCCCAGTCATTATAGAGCCTTATAAACAGGAAATAGCAATGGAAATACACTTCCAATTAGGCCCAATGTCCAGTGGTGGGATTCTAGGCTCACAGTGCATCAGGCAATGAGCAACCGTGTCACATACCAAGTTGGAGTCCTGGTCTCCGAGCAAAAAAAAGGAAAAAGAACTAAGCAACGTGCAACGGCCTCTAAAGTAGAGAAGTAGGCCCCATCTCTTAGGACACTCTCCAGAAAGTCCCATGGTTACAACTGTATACCCAGAGCCATAGTCTCTCCCCAGTGCTATCCAATTTGTTGTCTGAATCCTGAACACTGATGTTCTCCATTGTGGCCCAGTTCCATGCTGCTTGTCACAGTGTAGAATCATGGAGGCTGTAGGATCTAAATATGGGTGTCATGGCCTATATCGTGCTTTGTCCTTTGCTGTATCCTTTCTTATTGGCTGCATCCTTCTTTGTATTGGCTGTATCCTGCTCCGTCACTGGCTGTCTACTTACTTCTCATTGACTAGATCCTGCTTCTTCATTGGCTGACAAGTATTCATAGGATAATTTAATAAAACTTCTTTTAACAAACATCACTGTTAATAGAAATAGAATGTAAGGGTGACATGAAATGTCTAGCCACTGTCTTCATAAAAATAGAAACAAGGGGGGAGTTCCAGGAAGATGGCAGAGGGGAAATTGGAGGCAAAACAAGATCTCACATAGAAAGCAGTTTTAGAGTTCCACTGAACAGTCCTAAGCCAGAGAATCACACCAAGCATGCCATCACAGGACAGAGAGTTAGGCCAGAGAGGGAAAATTCAGGCAAGGAGACAGATCTGAGCTCTTGCCGGCAGTTGCCGCTCTTCAATCTAGTATTAGAATGCCTAGCTACAGCAATAAGACAAAATGCAAACATAAAGGGGATCCAAATAGGGAAAGAAGAAATAAAACTCTCCCTCTTTGCAGATGATATGATCTTATATTTAAAGAATCCCATCGAATCCACTCCCAAATTACTCAAGCTGATTCAAAACTTTGGCAAAGTAGCAGGATATAAAATTAACCCCCCAAAATCAATGGCTTTGCTGTAGGTCAACAATGAGAAAAGTGTGGCTAAAATTAGGAAAGCAACTCCATTTGTAATAGCCCCACAAAAAATAAAATACTTAGGAAGGAACTTAACCAAAGAAGTGAAGGACCTCGATGATGAAAACTTTAAAAACTTGAAAAAGGAAATCCAAACAGAACTTAGAAAATGGCAAAACCTCCCATGCTCCTGGATTGGAAAGATTAACATCGTGATAATGGCAATACTTCCCAAGGCTATCTACAAACTCAACGCAATACCTATCAAAATTCCAAGCTCATTCTTCAAGGAAATAGAAGAGGCAATCCAAAAATTCATATGGAACAATAAAAGACCCCAAATAGCAAAAACGCTCCTCAACGGAAAGAACACTGCTGGAGGAATATCAATACCAAATTTCAAACTCTACTATAAAGCCATAGTAATCAAAACAGCTTGGTACGGAATAAGAACAGACCTCAAGACCAATGGAATAGAATTGAAAACCGAGAAATGAATCTACAGGCGTAGAGCCATCTAATCTTTGATAAAGGAGCTAAAAAAAATAGAATGGAAGAAAGACAGCCTCTTCAG